GAAGGGAAAAAGAAGACCCAGTTTCCTGCTGTGATCATGTCCCAACCAATCCAGCCATGCGGGTCTGAGCAGCCAGGACCCAGGGGCCCTGAGGGCTGCACTCTGCACAGCGGGAACCACACGCTGGGCAGCCCACCCTAGACCCACGCAAGAGAGCTTGCTGGCTGACCCCACATGGCCACCTAGGGTTTGTCCCTGTGCTCTGGCCCAGGGGCCAACAGCACCGACCCAGCTCTCAGGTGCTTGGGTTCTTAGCCAACTTTCACTAGCTCAGACCTACTCAGTGCCTAGATGAAATGACAGTGGTGTGTGCAGGTAGGTTAAGGAGAGGAGTACTGACTAGAAAGTGAAAACCAAAAATGATACGCAATGACGGGCACAACTTTGGAGGATACATACCTGTCCTTCGGGAATGACTTGGATAGCATGTCAACCAGTTTAAAAGTATTTCCAATGGCGAACTACTAGCGAGCTAGACTGGAGTCCAGCAGCAGAGATACAAGGGCCCAGGGCCACCATCCTGCCAACTGGATGGCCATGCCCAAGTCAGTGTCAATGCTGCCCACGTGAAGAAAGGCCCCTTGCCTGTCCCTTCAGGCTGTCACTTGTGCGTAGAAGCATGCGTGCACACAGGGAAAGCAAGGACCCAGGGCCCTCCACCCCTCTCCTCCCGCTCCCGAGAGAGAGCGTGTTCCCGTGCGCTCCAGGGATCAACCGGTCACTGACGTGCGTCTCTATCCTCTGTGCCTAGGAACTGCTTCCCCAAACAGACAGCGGCCCAGGTCACCCTCAAGGCCATCTCGGCCCACTTCGACGACTCCAGCGGGTCCTCGCTGAAGAACGTGTACTTCCTGCTGTTTGACAGCGAGAGCATCGGCATCTACGTGCAGGAGATGGCCAAGCTGGATGCAAAGTAGCTGCATAGCCAGGGTCACCCACGGAGGACGAATTCAGTCCTGAGAGTGGGGTTTTGTTTTTCACACGGAGGGTGGACGGTGCCGCCGGGGAGGGGGCAAGCGCAGTGGGTGCTGGTCCCCCCGCCAAGGCGCCTCCGTATTTTATATTCTGGTTGAAAAGGCCTTCGTATGTCATGAGCCAGGTCTCCAGGTGGGTTTTTTTCCCCCCATGTGTGTGTTTTTTGGATTTTTGGGTTTTTTTTGTATTTTTCCTGTTCTTTTAGGACTTTTAAAAAAACAAACAACAGACCTCGTTTTAGATTTCTAGCATTGACTTTTTACACATACACACAAATTCCTTCAACATTCCTAAAAGTTTCTGTTCCTCCTCTGCCCGCCCCCACCCCCCGCCCCCAGGAAGCGTGACTTGGCCTTTGTTTGTTGTGTGTTCCATAAAGGGAACTGGTGCTTTTCTGTTTCACTGCCCCCACCCCCGACCCCAGGCATATCTATAATGACTCCTAAAGTGGTGTTGCTCCCGTCTTTTTTGTTGTTGCTTTCTTTTTTAAAGAAAATGAAAGGGAAAAAAAAAAGATTTACTGTCTTTCTTACATTCTGTTGGCTCCGTATTTTCTGTTTGAAATACAAAGTTCTCCATGGGCGGAGACTTCTGGAATGGGATAACTAAATGGGCAGGGTCTTTCATTAATGCAGTAGACTCGGGGCATACCGAGGGTAAGAAGGGCACAGGGGCAGTCTAGAACTTGAACACAAGTGGTCA